CTTATAATTTTCCAATTAAAAAGTTCGTGTCGGCTCGCGTTTAACTGTGTTAGCGTACCAGGCCTAATGGGTAAACAGTTTTCCGCGTTTTTCCGTGGAAAATAAGTACCAACAATGGTTAGTTTAGAATATTTATCAAACACGATAATTTTGTCGTCGGAATAGATGAAAATTTTCATATTAATTCAGAAAGATATACAGAGTGTCCGCTTTTCCATAGCTTTACTTGCTACTTTCGAAAAATCGATAAAATCGATTCCTTTCGAAAGTATACGCGCGTAGGTCCTAAAGGGCCGCTATTGGTACAAAAATGATCAGCGTCGAGAAAAACATTTTTTTTGTCTGTCCGTTCTCCGTTCTCTGTAGACAAAACCCATTTATAGCCATAAATTTCTAACGGATTAAGATAGGGGGTTGAAATTTGGTTCCTTTTTTACCATCCATGATTCGCAAAATATATGTAAAAACGGTCCGCGACCGGACCTTGGCGTCCATCTTTTTTTTTCGATTTTCGACTTGAACTATGCTATGAAACAGTATAAGTGTACGAAATTTGAATCTATCGATTTGCAATTTTGCATTAGTATAGAGCCTGGGCCCTTGACGGAACCTATTGAAATTGAGAGGGATCGATTAATGAGAAGTATTTTTTAAAATTCCAAAACCATTTTTTTTTTAAATCAAAAAGTAAATATTTCTCGAAAATTGTTAATCGGATGCAAAAAAATCTTAAACAAGAAGACGCGGAATATTGACGCCTATAAACTTTTTTTATTCTTGACAATTTTCTGAAAATATACAGGGTGTGCCGATATTACCAAAAATATGAAAATTGAGTTACTTTTCAACGGAAAAATGTTACTCAGTCGGCGGTTTCTTCTACTTGACAATTTAGTCCATAGAGAGAGCTAAAAGTCTTGTATTTAAAGTGTTCGCATATTGTACAGGATATTCGACATATAATATGATATGCTGAAAAATGAAGCCTGGAATTTGCAGTTATTGACTTCAAACTTGGCATATCTTGAAAACTATGAAACCGATAGGCAAAATTCTTGAATCGTAAAACGCGTAATGTCGAAGACTACAACTTTTATTTCAAGTATTTTTCGATTATGTACAGGGTTTGTCAATCGTGAACAAAAATCTGAAAGACCATGAAAATTGTTTTTTTCTTTAATAAATTATTAACCCCAAATCAAAATTCGTGAAAAATATTGACAATTGATTTAAACACTGATAGGTATTTAAAAACATCCAAATGAAAATCACCATTTCTCGTACTCAATCGAGGCGCGATGACGTCATTGATTATTACGGCGTACTGCATGGTTTCAGAAAACAAGTCTTTTCTCGAAAACTGTATATCCTATTGAAAAAATTGATATACCGGGAAACGTGGGAGATCTAGGGCTATAACTGTTACTTTGGGATTTTTTTGGATTATGTACACGGTGTGTCGATTATTGGTAAAAATACAAAAGATCCTGAAAATTGCCGTAATCTGGCTTAATTATTTGCTGATAATGACAAACTATGAAATATGGGATAAGTTGGTTTAAACAGTCTCGAAAATTTTGTTTAGAGAGAGTTTGAGGTTTCGTCTATTATACAGGGTGCGCGAGATGTGAAATCTCTATTATTTGTGCAAATTATTACATTTATCTAAGTTTGCAGTCACTGTAAGGTTTGGCGAGACGTGAAAGTCACTTTATACAGGGTGTATGCACAATATAATATTCCCTATAAAGTTCCATAGTGGAACGCAGGAGCACTATAGCAAAACAATGTCTACCTCTGTAAGAAAAAACTGCGAAGCTCCTTCTTTTTAAAATAAAAAGCGGCTTCGCGCTAGGCGCTACGAACTTGCCCCGCCCAGCGTTGATTTTTCGAAAGCAATCTTGTTTCCCTTCGAGTAATTTTGAGAATAAATAATCGTCATCGTTGGCGATAAATTTTAATGCTTCACTAAATACTGGATCTGTCCAAAATAATTCCAATAAACAACATGCCATTGACATCTAATGATGTTTTACGAGTGTTGTTTATATGGGTAGAGTCACCGAATCGAGGCCAAAAATACAAATAAAATGTATATTATTTAGTGCTCTAGGCGAGTTTCAGCTTAGCCAGAAAACGTCAGTACATACCTAGCTGCTTGATCAGCTAACCTAGTAGTTCAGTTTTATATAAACGTATGGCCCCAAATATTTAAATTTTCAGCTAGAGATATATTTTTTTAGATATTTCAATGAAATTTGGCACACATTGATAGTACGCCACCGATTTCTCTTAAAAAAAATAAAACAGACATAAACACAGAGAGCATGCAGAGAATAATTATCATTATTATTTCGTCCTTAAGTAATTGTCTATCAGTTTTATTAAAAAATACGGATATGTAATACATAGTACAGTAGTACAGTGGTACAGTAGTACAGTAGTACAGTAGTACAGTACTAGTGCAAATAAATGAAGTTAATTTAAATAAGAATTATTTGTTATTTATTATGTTGTTAGGATGTTATGTTATCTTATCAAAACTGTAAAAGTAAAAACAGTCTCTTAATATTTTTTTTATGAAAGACACTAACTAAAAACTAGATATTTTGTTTTAGAGAGATAGTTTGCTTTTCATAAAACTAAGTTCTCGATTAACCAGTGCAGTGGTGACCTAATTAATCCAAATATTATTTGTTCATTCGTTGGTTCTCTGCATGCTATCATGTTAACGAAATTGTTGTGACCATGCGGAGTTTGTTGAGTTGATGTTTTAAGCGAATACCTTACGATCGGTCTTAATTTTAAGAGAAATCAGTAGCGTACCATCAATGTCTGCCAAAATAGACAGGTGAAATTACGTACGCCCGCCACTGGCGTATTTTACAAAAATTGCGGTAAACTAAATATTAAAAATTTTATTATTTTTGAAAACTTTATCACGCTCTATCCCGAAAGTTAAGACGTTTAGGACATACGTTTTTAAAATGGACCCAGAAATCACCCCATCCCCCATACTTTTTGCCGGTTAATAATATTTTCATTAAAATTTATTAACTAAACGGTATTCTCGGGCATTGTCTGTTTTTATTTTCGTTTTGTCGTCGGAAACTCTAATTGTTAAGAGTTCGCTGCGGTTGTCTCTTGTTACTTTCGAAAAATCGATTAAATGAACCCCCACTGGTACAGAAATGATCAGCGTCGAAAAAAAATTTGTTTTGTCTGCTCTCCGTTCTCTATCGACGCTTCACAAAAACGCTTCATAAAACTTCCGAACTACTTTAGCCAGTACGCTGAAATTTTTCTCCTTTTAAACTGTGCACGAGATACATCAGCCTATCGAAAATGACTGCGATCGGACAGTGGCGTCCATCTTTTTTTTTGCGATTTTCCTCTGTTTTTCGTACATCGTTAAGAAACACGATAAGTTGCCTGAAATTTGTAGCTATCGATTTCAAAATTGGCACAAATATAGAGTTTAGTTCTTCAACGGAACATATTGAAATTGGGGGGGGGATCGGGAAGTATTTTTAAAAATTTAAAAAACGTATTTGCAATCTTTTTTCAAAAACGGTATATACGGTCGAAAAAATTCTTGAACCAAATGACGCGCAAGATCCGGCCAAAAATTTTTTATTCTTGATGATTTTTTAAAAACATGCAGGGTGAGTCGTTAATTTGCAAAAAAGTGAAAAATAGGCTCCCCTTGTATAACCATAACTAGAAGGCTGTGATTCCGAAGCTAGTTTTTTTATAAGACTATATAGCCCGTATAGACAGTTAAATTTTTGTATTTAAAGTTGTCACATATTGTACAGGGTGTTCGGGATATTCCGTGCTATATTCAAAAACGTCGAATATGTAGCTACCGACTTTAAATTTGGCAGGGAAGTAAAACTCCGTACCCACATATAAACAGTAGAATTTGAGCGTAATCAAGTATCACCAAATATTTCTTAAAAATTTTTGAAAAATTTCACTTATTTTGGCTTCCAGAAAAACATGTTTTTCTCAAAAACTATTTAACGGATCGGCAAAATTTTAGAACCAGGAAACGCTGGAGATCCTTGGCCATTTTAAGCATTTTTTCGATTATATACAGGATTTTTTCATTATGGGCAAAAATCTAAAAGACCGCGAAAATCAAAATTCTTAAAAAATAGGACTAATCGGTCTAAACACTGTTATAGGCCGTATCAAGGGCTAGATTTTTGTATTTACGGTTTTCATCTATCACATACTCTGTTCAAGATATTTAAAAAATTCCAAATGAAAATCACCATTTCTTGCCCTCAATTTAGACACGATGACGTCATTTACTATTACGACGTACTGCATTGTTTCAGAAAACGAGTATTTTCTCGAAAACCATTTACTCTACGGAAAAAATTCGTATACCAGGAAATGTGGGAGATCCAGGGCTAAACCTCCATTTCGAACAATGTTTGAATTGTATACAGGGTGCGTCGTTTATAGGTAAAGAATCTAAAAAACCCAAAAAATTTCCTTCTTTTGGATAAATTATTGGCGATAAATGAATATCTGTTAGAGATGAGATAATTTGATTTGAAGAGACTAGTAAACTGTGTAGAAAGAGAGTTTCAGTTTTCGTCTATAATTGAGGGTGGGCGAGATATTTCAAAAAATATTATTTTAAATCGCAATTTACAGTACAAATTTTAATATTTGCCAAAGTTTGCTGGAAGTTTGAAGTTCGGCGAGATGTGAAAAACACTTTATTCAAGGAGCATGCACAATTACATCGATTTTGCTAAAGTTCCATGGTGGTCTGCAGGAGCACGATCGCCACGATTTTTCGCAATCAATCTTGTAATCTACGTTCCTGCAAACTGTTTCTGACCTTACAAAAGTCCTCAAAACGGTCACGTGTCATTGAATTTCACGCTGGCGAGTGAAATAGTTACGAAAAATGATCCCTTCCGCAGAGTTTGATATCATCCGCGCAATAAAAGCCCAAAATTTAGACGCTCGTGTCTCACCTCCGAAAGACCGCTTAGAGGGACCAGTCGTTCACCATCGGCTTGAGTCACCACGGGAAACGAAACCACGCAAACCGAACGCACCTTGCCGATGATTTTTTTTTTCTCTCTCTCTCTCGAACCCGCACTGACGATCACCAAACGGGCACTTGAATCGCGTATCGTTCTGCAGAGACCGACGCCGGTTCTGTCGAGACCAAACACTTGACTATCGTTGGCGAGTTGCTACGAACGACACCCAGCGAAACCACTAACGTTCCTCTCTTTCGTCGAGCGTTCCTTTCTTCGACTACTCCCCCCACTTCACCATCCGAGTACCAGTACCACACGTTTTGAAAAGAGAAGTAATAAGATGTAGACGATGTTACTCCACTATGTATATTGCTAACAGACTAAAAGAATGATTCGTCATATCATCGTCATTCATCTACGATGTACGAGGGCTACCTTTTATATTTCGAGATTTGTAACAAAAAACCCTGATGTTTAACACACTTTTGCATTCGATAAAACCAATTGTCAAAGCACTTTTCCTAGATCGATTGGGACTCCTACGAAAAATGCATTTTAAACGCATCAATCGATTCTTCTGGTGTCAAAAATAGTCGTCCACGTAATTTATTCATAATGTATAGGAATATAAAGAAGTCATTAGGTGCTAAATCAGGACTTTATCAACGTTTTTAATTCTCAAAAAGTTCTTTGTTTGCACTGATCGGTGAGAGCTAGTATTGTCGTAGTGGAGAGAAATTCGTCTTCGGCCATTAGTTTTTCTAATATCTTAATAATATACTAATAATAATAATAATAATAATAATAATAATAATAATAATAATATGCTTTATTTCCATACGACTTACATTGCAAGTTTAAGATAATGTCAAAATAAATAAAGATACATTTTTATTTATTTACGTTTTTAAAATAACACATCGCATTATAAAAAACAAACACAAGTTGAAATGGACAAACGTTGATTAAAACACGAATTAAAAAGTGCACTGCAGTTACTCTTGTACAGAATAAAAGGCCTTCTGGATAAGCAATCGTTTCACCGCAGCGCAGGTGGTAATTTATTAAAAACTTTTATAGGAAGGACGATTCAGCTATTTGCTAGCGAACTTAATTAATGTTTTGGAATACCTAGGTTCTAATTCTGTCTTAAACTATAACGTTCATTGGTTGCACGCGTACATATATACTCATTATAATTAAATTTAACCATCGTTACCGAGTTCAGTATGTATAGACTGAGAAATGTCAAAATTTGTGTTTTAATAAATATATTTTCGCAGGAATAATGTTTCGGTTTATAGTGCATTGTACGAATAATCCCTTTTTACCCCAGCAGTAATAGCATAAGAGACTATAATCGACCCTTTTTTTAAGTTGCCAAATGACAAAACAGTGTGTGGATAATTTTTTGAGAATATAGTCCACCTGATGAGACCAACAAAGACCAGAATCGAAATAAACTTCCAGAAATTTCGCAACCCGCCTCTCGTCGATCGTTTTATTATTACACATAACTAAGATGCTCTTATCTATGCCTCTTAGTGAGACATTAATCAATTCGGTTTAATCATGATTTAATATAAGACTTATTCTGTTACAATAATCAACAATATCTGCCACCGCCTCATTAGAGTTTCTTAGAGAGATACTCCATGTCAGGACCGCAGGAAACCACAGCTCTATCATCAACAAATCGTGATAGATAATTATTATCTGATCCACAGCAAACTATGTCATTAATATAAGATAATAAATAATAGATGCCCCATTGGAGATCATCTTATCACCAGAAAAAAAAATCTTATCGTTTTTTTTTAAGACAACTTTTTGCACGCCATCTTTTAGGAAACTCTCTAACCATCCTAGAGCGTTGCCACGAATAGCACAATGATTTAACTTAAGAAGCAAGAATCATCAATGTTAATTAAGAAGCATCAGTGTTAATTACGTCAAAAGCTCTTTGTTGATACTCCCTTACGAAACCCAAACTGGTTATTGCTGATTAAGTTTACTTTCTCTAAAAATCCCAACAGCCTTCTATAGAAAGCTTTCCTAAAATTTTTTGAGAATATTGACAACAATGTTAGTTAGAGATTTCGTATAAATTACGCTTTTTGCATATCGGTTGTACTATGGTTTTTTTTTAATATATCTGGAAATCTACCATCTGAGAAGGATTCATTAATAAGATAGGTTAATGGAGCGACAAGTAAATCAACAACGGACATCATAAAGGAGTACGGTATTTCATCAAAACCTGCTGAATGCTTTTTTGTAACAGATAAAATTCTAACTCTGATTTCATTATTCGAATACGGCCTCAAAAACAATGTTCTACTAATCCCGTTTCCTCAATTTAAGTTAAAATTTAAATCAAATCCCGAAGTTAGTCGCTTAATAGACTGTATAAAGAAATCATTAAAAGCAGATGCAGCCAAATTCATATCCGATAGAGTTTTATTGTTATCAGTAAAATATATAGGAATGACCTTTATGAAGGTTAGCCCTTTTTTATAATTTGCCAAGATGCCTGAGATTTACTGCTCGAACTTAACATAACATGATAACTGTATAATTTTTTTGCATCGGCAATTGTTTTCTGATGCTGCTTTTCAGCAAACAAACTAGGGAGTTATTCCTCACTCATAAAATACATTTATTCAGCGATGAGACGCCTTTTAGAAGCTAACTTTAACCTAAAACTACTCTAGAAGTAATAATAACCTTATGGCAAGTTTTTGGAAAATAATGAATCAATACTGTTTTCATTCGCTAATTCTTGAATCGGAGGAGAATATGTATTGTTACAGAAGATAAATTAGAAACCAAGGAACTAACTAGGTGCCAAATTATTCATTTGATTCAAAATGTGATAACACATCATTAATTTGTTTTTTTGCTTGGGCTTTATAAATCTAAGGAAGACTTCTTATTACTTCAGCCATGTGGTGAGAAAAGAATTCAATATCGTCCTTTTTTGTTACATTTTTCATTAAATTTGCTGGTCTATCGTTCCTCTCTTTCAAATATTTTACAATAATTGCATCTTTACTGTTACATAGTTGTCGCTTACGAGCCAAACTTTTGTTTGCTGGAGTGTCAATTTCTTCCGTATTGTTCTCTCTGGCACTTTCTTGCGTATTTTCATTATTCAGTATGCCTTGGGATGTATCTATCTTATCCTGAGTCTCCGACAAATTAATATTCGAGCTTCAAAAAATTTCAAGTTTTTATTTTAGGGTTCTTTGGAGCTACAGAGCCGGTTCTTAACTTATTATTCTTTTTAAATCTGCTATAAGTATCTGTTATGTATTTGCACTCCTTCTTGTAGTAATTACCTAAAAGTGTACAATATTATTTTCCTGCGAAGTATACTTTGGAATAAAATCAAGATTTGAAACATTAACTCCATCTTTTATTGGCGCCTCATATATATCAGCCATCATAAAGCAAGTTCCTAAGGTACTGAGTACAAAACTAATACCAATTACCATGGCACCCCCTTCTGCAAATGAATTTAAGCGCGTAGAACAAGAACAAATGTAAATTGTGTTGGCAATTTTTTCCCTTCCATACAATTCCTCTAATTCTTTTTGCCATGTTTTTTAGATAAGGACAGAACTTACTCGACTAAGCAGTTTGGCCTTAAAGTTTGAAAATCTCCGGATTGACATTTTGAATCCTTATGCAATTATCAGCACATTCGATATGTTGCAGTCTTCTGTATGCTTAAAAATTTAACGCCTTTGCTATCGACGACATGTGGTGAACTTTGCTTCTGCATTATGAACTGCTAACGTAAGGATCGCTAAATGCTAACTGATGCCCTTTTCTTGAATGATTATACCTTTATTGCGTTTTTCAATAATCCCACTCGATTCACTAAAGCAGTCAGCACTCAACAACTAATCTATAAACTTCTTGCTTTTTACAAAAGTTCCGGATTCCTCCTGCGTCGGTTTTTGCTGAGTCGAAACTGCTGACGTTTCGCCAATCATCCTGTTGGCTTCTTCAGAGCTTGACTGAAACTCGCTCGCATTTTACTCTGTACCTGCTTATATATTGTTTAAAGGGGACGAATCTAAATGAGGGGCTTAAACATCGTCTTGGTGAAAAAAATATATAACAGCTAAAAGTTCAGGTTTTCACGAAATTATATCTTTTCACATGACAATTGTTTCGACAACACTGTGTCTTTATCAAATGTAATATTTACAAACTACCTGCTACTATATATAAAAACCAACAATTTTCTTAAACCAGAACTTTTCGAGTTATATCAAAGACAAATCAAAGAAGTAATTACTAACTCCACACTATTTAGTGACAAAGACAAGAAATTTTTAACAATTATGAATCCAAAACCGCTGAAATTATATTCTTTAATTAAATTACAAACAACATATGTCCGTTAGACCATTCTTCTCTTATGTAACAGCTCCAGCAGTTAAACTCTCAACAAAATTAGTAAATATTTTAAAGTTCCAAACAGATTTTATACCAAAATTGGCATTTTTTTTTTTTTTTGTATTAATCAACTAAATTAAAGATATCAAAATCCCTTCTAACGCAACACTATTGCCTTTTGATGTACAAAACTTATTTCCCAGTATTCCACCTATGGATCTTTAGACCAACATTATTTTTAATTTAATGGACAGATTTACATCTCTAAGGAAGGTTTGATAATGGGAAACCCACTTAGTCCTTTGTTAGCCCAGATTTTTATGGATAATTTGGAAAATATCACACTAGAACATCCTTTAAGTAAAAGTGTTCTTTGGTGGTATAGATACGTGGATGATGTCTTTGCTTGCCGGAGCGGAGAGGCAATTAATTTTTCCATTTACCATAAACCTTCACACACGGACACAGTCATACATAACAGCTCAAATCATCCTTATATACACAAAATGGCTGCATTTCACTCTTTTATACACAGACTTCTTAATACGCCACTCTCAACAGAAAATTACAGCAAAGAACTTAATATCATTAAACAAATTGCACTGAACAACGGCTACAATCCGCCCTTTATCGATAAAATTATAAATAAGAAATAAATCCAGACAACAGTAAACTTATTTATCCGACTCTTTATTTATCTCTTTTTATCCGAAACCTAACACGAACACGAACAATTTAAAACAATTACATTCATAGGAGAACCCAGAGAACATTTTCAAA